GTTATGAAATGACAACATATATTCACTATTTTGTGTATGTACATGGTATGGGATGATTCAATCTCTCACATGGGTATGTAGATGTAAGACTAGGAAGATGGATTTTTAACTTACTTGTAATTGTCTCAAATTAATTCTTTCTACTCCAAGTACTATCGCTTTAACACATAGAACAGGCACGCCCAAACCGATTACCAATAGTTGAGTCAAGTGATACATATATAAAGGTCTTCCAATGACAGAGTTAAACTTAGCAGCGTGCGTATCGGATATGACGTAGTTCTGGGGAAAATAAACACAAGAAACTAAATGAAAAGACCTGTTTTTTTTGTTTGCCCTTGTTTGATTTCATTTGTTACATGAATGCCATGCACACGAACGACTTGACGTGTGATCTGCTTTCACATCTTGAATTTTAACGGGACAGTAAAATCTCCTTTTATCAAATAAACAATCTGACTCATAGATTTATGAATGTGTATGGAATTACTACAAGAAATATATGTGCATATATAGATTGAGCTTGAAATAAAAAAAAAATATGTTCGGAGTGATATATGTATATAAAGGGAAATCAGACAGAAATGTTACACACATCATTTTGAAGGACAAATAAACGTGTTCGATAGAGGTACGTAACTTTAAATGTTTGCGTATGTGCGAAAAGATTGCAACACAGTACTTCAGGGTCCGATATGAAAATGAAAGTAGACAGTCGCAGTGAAAAGCAATAATGTCAAAATATTGAATAATTTGATGTCATCACAGGAACTACATCTGTGCTCTAATACACTTGCATAGTTTTCTATCGATTTACAAGACGTGACAATGCCTATAACTCCCACAGTGAAGAAATGCTGTTTTAAGAACATACTTTTCGTGAGTATAAATTGCTCACTCTCTTTATCACAAAATACAGTTACATGTATTGGCATTAACTGACAATAGATGATACCCCTCCCCCCTCCCAGCACATGGCATTGGTCCTCACCTCACTAAACCATAACACGGGATAGAATACATCTTCAATCTCTGAAAATTGTCTGTAGAAAAAAATCCAGTTATATACATTTTTGTTATTTCTATTTAATAAAATAGAATAGAATAGAATAAATATGAAATAATATAGAAATAGTAAACAATACTATTGTTCACTCAATAATCTTACGGAATTGCGGTAGAAATGTGAGTTGTCGGAACGTACACGTGTAACAACACAAACGTAACAATACGAAGATTGTGTAGTGTGAATGGTACGTTTAATGATAAGACTATTTCAACTTACGGAAACTTCTTGTTCTTTTTCAGGTGAATATTGATTTGCATCCGTTTTGCTGTCTGCATTGTTATACCAGTCTCCTGTATAGATTACAATATTTGTTATCAGCAAACACAAGTAGTTACTGATCATCTTCAACGCTACCTTTAACCGTCAATATAAATGACGTCATCGCTATCACAATTATTTGCTCTGAACTAAATATCCTCTATAGTCGCCAACCTTTAATGCACCTTAACATTGCAATGGAATGCTGGGGGAACCCAACCAAAATTAATTGGTTCATAAATACAATAGAAATACAAATTCGATCTTTAAAGGACGGTGGTCGTCGCGCAGCGCGTCGTCTAATTTCTTGTAAACGAACAATGTATTTTACACGCGTTGTATACGTCGCTATGAATCCCATATCGA